AACCTCGACTGTCCCATGAGTCCCCCTTCGTGCTCTCCCCACCCAGGCCTCCTGGTTTGGGGCCAGGCGCAGGAATGAGACGGGAACACAGACCCTCTTCCTATTCCCAGGGCTGCTGGGACTCCCCGTGTGTTGGGGAGAGCAGGAAAAAGCTTCCGGCGTTAGCGTCGTTATCTTGGTCTCAGCCCCGTTCTTGAGCTGAAGGGGAAGGGCGGTGAGGCCCGCAGAGGGGGCTGTGCAACGAGATTCGCAAACACAGATTGGGACCGTGCTCCTGCCCTCCACCTCCCTGGGAATGGCTCTCTCCCGACGCCACACATACTCCCCCCCAACCCCTAATTGGTGACAGGACTGCTTTCAGCCCACACGGGGAGCTCAAAAGGAAGCATCCGAATCGTGATATTTCATATTGTTATTATATAGTCTATAGCACTTCCTGCCACACCTGGCATTGTTCCACACGCACGTTATCTCATTTCATCCTCGCCTAATGAGGTAAGTGCTCGTATTATCCCCATTTCACAGATAAGAAGCCAAAGAGCGGAGAGGTAGGCTGTCTGGTCCGGCAGGAACAGTGTCTCCTGGGAGGGCTGCACCGAGAAGAGCTGGGGGGACTGTGCTCAGAGGTGGGTGCAGGGCCACAGGGTCCCACAGGGATAGCCTGGGACTATCAGCAAGCAGCCACTGCCCTGCAGTGGCGGGGGGGGGGGGGGGGGGGGGAGTGAGGCAAGAGCAACGTGACTGAGACACAGTGGAAGCCCCAAAAGGGTACCCATACCCTGACCTTTCTCTGCCCGCCCCCAACCATCCCACCTTCCCTGCCCTCTGATTTCCTAGCCTTGCTTCCCGCACGTCAAACCCAACTAGACATTAGCCTCCTGGGGCACGGAGCAGGCTGGCGTTGGGGCCTGGGGGACAGGGCACTCCACATGCCTGAGGTCCATGGCCAGGAAGGACTGGTTTGGAACAAAGGTGACCTGGGCCCAAAGACCTGCTCCCTAAGATGTTGTGAAGTGCCTCCTCCCCCCGGGAAAGGGGGATGAGAGGAGCCAGGTGGGGACAGAAGACTGGATTCTAGTCCAAGGTCTGCTGCCCTGCTCCATGGCCCTGAATGAGACTCTGGGCCTCAGTTTCCCCTTTACACGAAGAGGAGGTGTCCCACTCTGGGGCAGCCAAGGTGCCCAGACCAGACGGAGCCTGGGTGCCCGCTGCCCACCTCAAATGCACCCGCCCCAAAGGCTGAGGCCCCAGCGCGGAGCCTCGCAGTCCCAGAGGAAGCCATTCCAGCTGCCGGGCAGACACACCCACTCCTCTGCCCGCCTCGGGTCTCAGAGTTGTCCCAGGCAAGCTCCTTCGGGCTCCCTGAGGGCCCAGCTCCTCCGTCTCTCCTCCCTCTGTGCTGCCAGCATTCCCTGGCACCCAACTCAGAGCCCCACCCAGGACGGCTCCCCCCTCCCCGGGAGGAGGTGCAGGACCCTGCCCAGGCCAGCACCCCCACAGACCCCTCATCGGGCACCCAGGGCGTCTCTGACCGCAGAGATCCGTGTGCCGGTGGAGTATTCTCTTCTCTCCCCTTCCCACCCCACCCAGCTCTACTCCACCCAAGCTTCCCCAAGCCTGGGGGGCACCCCACCCAGGTTTTCAGACAAACAAAAATCAAGGAGGCAGCTCATTACCAAAAATTAAGGAGGTGGCATGCCCTGGAGGGAGATGAGCAGGACTGGCCTGGCAGGTGCGCAGAGATGGGCTCCAAGGTACACAAGACGTTTGCTTGTGAGAACACAGAGTCAGACCCAGACACAGAGACAGGCGGAGACAGAGGCAGAGACAGAGGCAGAGACACGGTGGGCAGAGGCACGCAGACCCGCAGAGACAGCCAGACACCCTGAGAGGGACACCCGCACCCTCAGCCACCCTGGGACTTGCACTGGTCTGCGCTCACACCGAGGCGGGCGCTCAGGGAGACAGGAGCCAAGCTCTGGTTGAGGGAGACGGATTCCAACCCAAACAGAGAGCGTTAGGGAAACACGGCTCCTCCAGCATAGGCCATGGGAAGGAAGGACAGAGACGGGGCGTGGGAGCTGTCCAGCCCCCTCTCTCCACCCCCACCACAGGGTGATTCTCCTCCCAGGTTCACCTTGGAGATGGACTAAGATGCCTTCCTAAAGGAAAGGGAGAGCTTTCTTTCTGGAATGTGCTATCAGCCCGATCGGCTAATCAGCGGCATCGCCCCCGGGAAGTGTGTGGGGAGGTGGGAAGCTTTCCTCCTGGCGCTGGCACTCCCTGCCACTTGGCTCTGGTCCCTCCCAGCCCCGGCCCTGCCTCACTGCTCCCGGCCAGGCCTCACCCTTTCTCATACCAACCGACCCTCCATCCAGCGTGTCCCCTCGGCTGCCTGCTCTTCTGCCCTCCACACCAGTGTGTGTGGCCCCCTCTTAGGTCTCCCTTCAACCTCACCCCAAAAGCCTCCTCTGGTCCGGGCACAGCAAAACCATCATCCCCACTCTTCTCCCTCCCCCCATCCCCCCCCCCCCCGCCCCCAGAAAATTCAGAATCTGTGAAGTGAACCTGATGCAGAAGAGGATGCTGTGAATTCAATGGCCTTCAAAAAACAGCTCTTAGCATCTCTCTTTCACCACCACCCTCCCCCCTCCCCCAGGTCTGCAGGGGAAAACCGTGAGGTGAGGTGACGTTTATTGACGATTCTCCATCACCATCGGCTGGTCATTGTGCTACGTCCTTTTTCATGAATTATCTTCCATTACTTCCTCCTCTCAATATCTCCCAACTCACAGGTGAGGAAACTGAGGTTCAGATGAGGTTCAGAGGGGAGAATGATCACCCCCGGGTCCCACAGCGAGAGAGAGGGCACGCTGGGCCTGGGATCCAGGCTTGACTACTTTCCTTAACCAGGTAAACTCCTTCCCCAGGCCTCCCCCCACCAGAAGGCCTCCCATCACCGCCTGAGCTGATGGGTCAAGGTGAACAGCAGGGTTTGAGGAGAAAGGATGTGGGAAAGACAGGGGCATGCTGGGAAAGACAGCAGGTGGGGAAGACAGCAGGCGGGTGCAACGTGGCTGGAATGAAACTCTGAAGCCACATGAGTTGCCCTCCCTCCCCCAGAGCCTGGGAAGGGGACACTCCCTCTGGCGTGCTTCCCTCCAGCATTCCATCCGCTCCTCCTGCGAGCTGGGGACAAAGAGGGGTGGAGACCTGAGATGGAGCTGCCTCCTCCCACCCTACCCCCAGCGTCCTCGCTGTGTGCCCCTGCGTGTGCCCCCCACCCTCTCTGGGCTCTGGGCTCCTCATCGGTGAAATGGCTGGGGAGTGAGAGCTGGCTTCGCCTCTCACACTCACGGTTCTCAGGCGATGTTCTGGGGTGTTCACACTCACACCCCAGGAACCCTCGGCGCCCCTGGGGTTAACTCTGCAGGAGGCTTGGGTTGAGGCCACCTTCCCTTTTATTCTCAGTGAAACTTGAGGACTTGGGTGAGGAAGGAGAAGGTGAGAAGGAGCATGTGATCACCTGCCAAAGCTTCCTGGATCTGGGGTGCCAAGCCCTTTGCCTTCCTGTGCCGTCGGGGTCCCAGCCAGCGTCAGTCAGTCCAACCCCAGCCTCACAGACTCGGATGTGCCTCAGTCTGGAGACCTGAACGGGGGGTGGGGGAGGGGGCAGGGTATGTGCAGCTTGGTCTCTGGTATTCGACTGTAGAAGAGGATGGGAGAGTGGGGAATGGCTTCACAGAGAAGGAGGTATTAGAGCAGATCGGGAGGATTTTAGGGAGCGGACATCTCGGAGCAAAGGTCCGAGGTCAGGAGGGACAGGGGCACTCAGGGAAGTCTGGGGTGGATGGAGCATTGTGAAGGGATGGCTGGGGCCAGGGCCAGGGGCCAGGTCCTGCAGCGGGGGGGGGGGGGGCGGGGAGGGTTGGATTGTCTCTGCACAGTGGGGAAAGCCATGGAAAGAGACCCACTTTCAGCAGGGGTTTCAGAACAACCCCTCTGGCTGCTGTGTAGACTGACGGGGGCGGGGGCAGGCCGGCTGAGGGGCTGTGACCAGGCAGCGAGTGGATGTTGGCGGAGCCTGCACAGCTGCGCGCTGTAGAAGGCGATGTAGGATCCCAGTCTGACTGGCCTCCTCCAGCAACAGAGAGCTCACTATTACCTGGGTAGCCGTCCTCCCCTTAGGGCGGCTCTGCCTGGGAGAAAGTTGTCCCCGACTCAAGCCTCTCTTCCCAAGCTGATGGGGAGTGCAGGGATCAGGAAGGAGATGGACACCCAGGGAGAAGGGAGAAAGTGCAGAACCGCTGAGTTCAGGCTGAGAGGACGGGACTCTCTGACCTGTCCGCGTGCTGGGCATGCTGGGTATTTGGGTCCAGACACACGGACGCTCCTTAGCTTGCCCCAGGGAAACAGCGGGACCAGCAGACAAATGTTGACACCATGGGCAGTTTTAGGCATATATTTTATTGTGGTTTGTTTGTTTTTTTTATAAAAGGCAAGAAAACCTGTATTATTGAGTGGAGGATTAAAAGAGTAAAGACCCTATTTGGAGCAGAGTCTCCAACCCCTCCCCACTAAAACTAAAACATCTCCGCTATATATTTTTTTTTTTTTAAAAAAAAGAGAAAATATGAAACTTATGACCTGGACTTCACCCCACTTTCTCATGCCTACATCATGGCAAAAACACGTTATGCAGCTCCTACTTATATACAGTGAAAGGCTCACACCTGGGCTGTGGCCTCCTCCTCCCAGCCCCGCCCATATCCCCAGCGTGCCGTCCCCAAAGCCGCCCCGAGTCCCTGCTTGGAAAACAGGACAGACACACACACACACACACACACACACACACACACACACACAGAGAAACATATCTGGGTTTCTGCAGCCCCTGAAACATGCAGGTCCCTGACACTCTCCTCACTCACCACCACCCCCCTTCCACTCCCCCCACAGCTAAAATCCTTCCACTTGGTCCTTTGCCCTGAATATCTGGGAACACACACACACACACTCTCACATGCCCGCTGCCCACTCCCTCCCGGGGGGAGACAAAGTTCTGTTGGCCCTACTGTCCATCACAGCTTAAGGACAGTGGCCTGAGGTCCTCCGTGGGCAGGGTCCAGTGGGAAATCCTGGAGGGACCGTCCAGAGGGGTGGGGGCAGACAAGGAGCTTCTCAGCCTGGAGGGGGGTCGTGAGGGGGGCTTCCGGAGAGCGGGCCCTGCACAGTCCGTGGATGCTCCAGGGAGAGGGGCAGGGGGCGGCCCTGCCCGCTCAGACCTGCTCCTTGTGCTTCACGTGGGCCAGCTTCACGTTCTCCTGCTCGGTGGAGGGTGGCGGCTGCTCCAGGTGGCAGCCGATCATGACCTGGTACACGAAGACGCCCGCGATGGAGCCCAGGAGCGGGGAGACGATGGGCACCCACCACCACTGGCGGCCGGTCCTGGGGGGGCAGAGCATGTAGTGTTAGAGGCGGGTGGGGCCGGCAGAGGGAAGGCAGGCTGAGGCTGGCTGGCTGGCTGGCTGGCTGGGGGTGGCACTCACGTGAACACCTCCGAGCCCCAGCCGGCGATGGCGGTGAAGAGGCGGGGGCCGAAGTCCCGGGCGGGGTTGACCGCGTAGCCGGAGTTGAAGCCCATGGAGGTGCCGATGACCAGAACCACCAGGCCCACGGTGAAGGCCTCCAGGCCCCGGGGGACGGGGTTGTTGTAAGGGTCCACAATGGCCAGCACGCACACGATGAGGGAGGCGGTGCCGATGAACTGGCGGGCAGGGAGGGGCAGGTGAGGATTGCCCACCCCACCCCCCGCCCCACCCTCCGGCCCCTCCTCTGGGCCTCTGGCTTCCTTCCAGCTCCTAGTCTTGTCAGGGCCCGCATTCTCCTCGATGGGACCGGGGCGCTGGGATTTTTTCAAGGATAAGAATCCTCTGGGGCCGAAACCGGTTTGGCTCAATGGATAGAGCGTCGGCTTGGGGACTGAAGGGACCCGGGTTCGATTCCGGTCAAGGGCATGTACCTTGGTTGCGGGCATATCCCCAATAGGGGGTGTGCAAGAGGCAGCTGATTGATGACTCTCTCTCTCATCGATGTTTCTAGCTCTCTAGCTCTCTCCCTTCCTCCCTGTACAAAATCAATAAAATATATTTAAAAAAAAAAAAAAAAGAATCCTCTGGGGAGCTGGTTCAATAGAAAAGCTGCCATTCTGACTCGGATGGAGGTGTCCCCCCCACAACTCTGCTTCAGACAAGGAGTCCTGTCCCGCAGCCCATACCTGGTCGAAGAAGCCATTGACCATGTCCAAGTGTCCGGAAGGGTAGGTGGCAAAGATGCCAGCGGTGCCGTTGGGGCCCGAGACTATAAGCTGGTTGTCGGCAAAGGCCCAGATGGCATCTAAGGGCAGATAAAACCCCAAGTGGGTGAGGGCAGAGGCCTGGGCCCAGTTTCTCCTCTGTGGCTGGGCCCACCCTCCCAGGGGTCACGGGTAAGTAGAACCACTGCTGTTTGCGCAGGAGCCGGAGGCGGGGAGGTGGGTGGGGTGAGGGCCTGTTGTTGCCCAACTCGTTTATTTCCCCTGTGCCCCGCACCTGGGGCTTGTGCGTGAATGAGTGAGTCATGAGCCGGGGGCCTGGGCAGGCCCCAGCGGTCTGCCATGGGAAGGCCCGATGCCAGCAGGTCCCCAGCGGAAGGAGGGGGCTGTGGAGGAGGGCAATGCTTACCATAGTACAGCCCGAACACGATCCCAGCGCCCAGGAAGGCTCCCAGGGTCTGGGCCAGGGTGTAGATGGGCAGCTTGATCCAGGGCTCTCTCGCCAGGAAGCACATGGCAAAGGTCACCGCAGGGTTCAAGTGGGCCCCTGCACGGACAGGAAATGGGACCCATTGGCCATCGCCTGCCACCGTGGGGAGGCCAGGATCCCATACCATGCAGAGAAGGGTGTCCGGTGCCAGAAGGCGGATTGGGTTGTGGAACAGGCCAACGCTGCTCATCTCCGATCCCAAGGTGAGAGTCAGAGTCTAAGTTACTGAGTTCCTTCTCCACTGCCCTCTTCCCAGGGCTCAGAGCCCAGGTCACCGCTCTGCCCTGCCCTTGGGAATGTCTCCCCACCCCATCCCCACCGGGACCTCCAGGAAAATGCTCTGAGGGTGGAGCAAGGCCTTACCGGAGACCTGGCCAGCGATGAGGATGCCCAGGGTGACGGCAAAGCCGAAGGCCAGGTTGATGGTAAGGAAACCGCCGTGGGTGCCCCGGCTGAGCACAACCTGGGCCACGGAGCCACAGCCGAACATCTGTGTAGGGAAACAGAAGAGGCGGGAGGGTGAGGCCCGGCGGAGGGAAGGGTGAAGCCAGCAACCTCTGCCTGCCCCATCCCGAGGCTGGAAGGCCGGGCCTGGGCTTCAGCCGAAGCCCCTCCTGCTGCCGCTGCACTCGGAGAGGCAAACGTGCCCTCCCACCCACGAGGCCCCAACTCCACAGAACAGGTCCCCGTGGGAGCAGAGTCTGCAGCTGGGAGCCTTAACGATGGCTGGTCATCTTCACTGATTTTTCCTGAATCTTAACAGGAGTGGGTGGAGGGCAACAGTTTTCATCTTAGCAGTTTCTCCCAGGCCTCCGCTCACTCACCCCCCCCACCTGCATGGCCTCCCTTTTTGCCCCAAAGAAGAGCTGCTAGGTGGTGGTGGCTGTTGATGATGGTGGTGGTGATGGTGGTGGTGGAGATGGGGCAGAGTGGGGTGGGGGGTAAAGAAATAAGGAGGAGGCCAAAAGTTAGGTTGAATCCACCTCTCCTGAATCTGGGATGTCAGAGCCCCTGGCTCCCCAAGTATCCCCCAAAGCTGCCCCGGCCCCTGCCCAGGTCTCCTCTCTCACCTTCCCGTAACTAAAGGTCTGATATCTGGCCAGCAGGCAATTTCCGAGACCCGTGCTAAGGGTCCCTGTCCATTTGGATGGGTCATTGCCCTGCTGTACGGGGTTGTTAAGCACTCTCATTATCACCCCTCAGAAAGATGAAGAGATAGTGGGGAAGCCAGCGGCCGGGGTGATGCAGGGCAAAGGTGTGCCGGCAGGTGCCGGCAGGTGCAGGCAGAGATCAGAGGTGGTGAGTGTGCGGGGGCAGGAGGACTGGCAGGCCTGTGTGGGTCTGGGGAACCTGCCGCGCTTGGCAGGCTCTGCTCTCAGTTCCTCGCCCGCCTGAAGGCCAACCCTGGCTCCATCCCAGGAGGCCTTGGAGTGAGAAGCTGTCAGAGCCAGTTCTACCACCTTGGAGCTAATCTTCCTCTTCCTCACCCTCCCTCTCCCCGGCCCCCCCTCCTTCCTGGGTACCCCAGAGGAACGGGCTTTCCTTGCCCTGAAGCCCATTCTGATTCCACCACTGCAGGCTCTAGGCCCCCCACCCTCAGAGGTGCACGCAGGCAAGCCCTCACCCGCCTCTCAGGGGTCTCCCTCGCCTGGCTCCTTCTCTGCCGGCTGCCTGCCCTGAGGTGCTGCTTTTCACTGACACCCAATGCCTCGCTCACCTGAGCCTGAAGCCCTCCTTCCTGGGCTCAGCCCTAGGCCTGACTGCGTCTTCTGGGGAGGTGAACTGAGACTTGGGAGAGGTGGGGAGGCCCCTCTGCGAACGTGGAAAACAATGACCCCTGTCCTGGCTGTTCTCAAATGGGGGGGGGTGGGTGTTCTTCGGGGACTGAGGGACACAGGCTCTGGGAAGGGAGAATGACAGGCACCTGCCCCACGCCTGTCTTGGCACAGGGGAGAGAGGGTATGGGGATGACCCGTAGGTCTTCTGAGGGGCTGTGGATAAGGTGCCCCCTGGTTTCCTTCTCCCCACTTCCTGTTTCCAGAGGTGAGTCTCTCCTCTTCCATCACCATCACCCATTGGGGGTGGCCACGCCAGCCCTCCCTGCCTGCAGGGGCTGGCAGGTCTGCATGACCTGGGGCTGGGGCTGGAGCTGGGGCAGGAATGGAGTAGCTACCCACTACAATGGAGCAACTCAACCCAGAGGCAACCTGCGGGGAAAACATGTAACCACCACGGAGCGGCCGGCAATGAGAAACTGGGACAGGAAACGGGGACTCTTCACTGCTGTGTCTGCCAGACCCCCCCCCCCAAAAAAAAAAAAATGCAAACAGAATCACCCAGGAACAACCCAGGACCGAAACTGTGTGACCAGGGAGTAACCGGGCCCGGGGAGGAACCCAGGCAGGGGAGGTGTCCACTCCGGGAGCCCAGAGAGTCGCTCAGAGCCTGGGTGCCTGACAGGGTCTGGGAGCGGCTCCGCAGGAGGGGAGCAATGGCAGGGACACGGCTTCCTCCGGCTGGGCCCCACGGCCCCCCACAGCCCCCTATCTGCCGGAGCCTGCCTTCCTCTCCTCTGCTATCCGCTGCTGTGTGCACCCTGCGGGCCTCCGCCCTCTGCCCCAGCCCGCGGCCAACTGTCCTCATGGGAACTTTTGGACTTTCTGAGGCTTAATTATTCATTAGGGACCAGATATCAGAAGCCAAATAGCCTACTAGGGGCCCATCTGCCCCTGCCCCGTCTGTGTCCTGGGCTGGGGCTCTGAGACCTTGGGGAGCTGTGGGATCCTTGAAGAAAGGGCTGGAGGTCCCAGCGGCTGGGCTGGGTCCCTGGGCAGTGACCGCCCTCACAGATGGGGTCACAGCTGGGGGGTGGAGGGAGGGTGAGAGGCACAGGGGAGAAGGAGGGTGGGGATCCGAGCTGGGAGAAGGCTCAGGGCTGCCTGGGAAAGCACAGCTCTGGGATGAGCAGGGTTAGGGCGCGTAGAGGCGGGGACAGAGGGGATTCCCTAGGTCCCCGCACTCACCACCAGGATGAGGGTTCCCAGGCACTCGGCCAGCGCCTGGCGGAGCAGCCGGTAGCGGATGTGGAGCATCTCCCCGCAGCGGTTCACCAGCTCCTTCTGTCGACCCATGGCGGGGCAGTTAGCGGCGGGCAGGTGGCGGCGGAGCGCAGGGAGGCGGCGGGCTGGGCGCTGTGCCCGGAGCGGCGGCTGGCGCCCTTTATAGCAGCGGGAGGGCAGGTCCCGCCCGCCCCGCGCCCGCCCAGCGCGCCCCGCCCGCCCGCCCGTCCGGCCTGCCCCGCAGGAGGGGGCGGCCCCCCACACCTTGCCTGGGCGGTTGGTGGGGATGCGGGGTTGGGGGGGAGGGGGATGCGGGGTTGGGGGAGCTCATGAGGAAGGTGGAGGAACGTGGGGTGTGAGGGACCTTAGGAGTGAGGCTGGCCCCGGGGAGCATTGGGGGAGGATGTATGTGTCTTGGAGGCCATGGTGGGGTGGGTACAGGCACGTGCAGGACGTGGCTGGGGAGAATGGAGCTGCCAGGGAGAGTGCCTTGGCCCCTGACCCCCGAGCTTTTTTTTTTTTTTTTTTTTTTTTTAATATATTTTATTGATTTTTTACAGAGAGGAAGGGAGAGGGCTAGAGAGTTAGAAACATCGATGAGAAAGAAACATCGATCAGCCGCCTCCTGCCCACCCCGCACCGGGGATGTGCCCACAACCAAAGTACATGGCCTTGACTGGAATCGAACCCGGGACCTTTTAGTCCACAGGCTGTTGCTCTATCCACTGAGCCAAACCGGTTTCGGCCCTGACCCAGAGCTTTGCTGTCCTCCCCGCCATGGTGGGGGTGAGAGGAGACATGTCAGGAAGATCTACAGGACGGCGGGCCCAGCACGTCCTCCCTCAGTCAGGGGGCTGGCGGGGGAGGCTGTGGGCCCCAGCGGGGGAGATTCCCTCTCGGAGACCCAGCGCAGGCACACACAGAGCATGTGCGGAGCTCCAGCCAGAGTGCACGGGCCTCTGCTCCTTCTGCTGTGAGCGCTTCATATGTTGTATGACCCGCTGTGTCTACACATGACATCTGTCTTGTGTGCCTGATCACACTCGATGGGCATTTCTCACAGCTGTGCACATCCAATCTGCTCTGGCTGAGTTAGCTGAGGCGGTCACACATGTACCTGAGTGCATTCTGCACATGGCTCCAGAGCCCGAATGGAAGCTGTCCTGACATGTCACATGCCACATATTTGCCCGAAGAGTATGTTCCAGCTGGGTTTGTTTTCCTTAATTTTTTTGTTACTCGTCACCCGAGGATTTTTATTTATTTATTTATTTTTTTTTTTTTTAGAGAAAGAGAGAGAGAGAGAGAGTGGAAGGGAAGGGGGAGAGACAGAGAGAGAAACATCGACGTGTCAGACTGGTTGCTTCCCGACCGGGGCGGGGATTGAGCCTACAACCAAAGTAGGTGCCATTGACCGGAATTGAACCCACAACCTTTCAGCCCTCCAGCTGACGCTCTAACCACTGAGAGCACCCAGCGAGGGGCCAGCTGTTTTTAACCGTCTCCCCTCCCGCTCTGGTTGATCCTGTCCAAGGAGAGTGTCCTTTTAAGAGATTCAATTGCTGCCCTAATCGGTTTGACTCAGTGGATAGAGTGTCAGCCTGTGGACTCAAGGATCCCAGGTTCAATTCCAGTCAAGGGCACATACCTTGGTTGCGGGCACATCCCCAGTAGGCAGTGTGCAGGAGGCAGCTGATCGATGTTTCTAACTCTCTATCCCTCTCCCTTCCTCCCTGTAAAAAAATCAATAAAACATACTTTAAAAAAAAGAAAAAGATTAAACTGCCTAAACTGTTGGGGAGTCAGCCCCATCTGAGGAGTGGGTGCTGTTCAATAATTAGCAATCTGGGGTCTGATGGCCTGGGCCCAACTCCCACAAGACTGGAAGCAAATGTGCCCTCACCCAGTCCCTTTCCCAGCACTGCCAGGGGAGACCAAAGGAATTGCTTTTGCCCGATGAACTTAATCCAAGTGGGCTAAGGGCCTTGGGGACTCGTCCCTTGAGAAATGGCTGTCAGAAATAAAGGTTCCAAAGGTGACTAAAGCCCAAAGAGATGGGGTTTAGCAATGCGTATCAGGTAAATTTACACGCATGTACCCACATGTGTGCGAGCGTGTGTGTACACACACCCACCCACACCCTGAGGCTGACAGCCACACAGCCTATGGACACTGAGCTCTGTTCACATGCTCAAGCGGTCTCAATTACATGAGAACCTGGTCATATGTATGGAACCCACATGCAACACCTCTCATAACCTTGGCTCAGAGAGAGGCACCCCACCCTCTGGGCCCCCATGGGCTGGGAGGTCCCATGGTGAATCAGGGAGCCATCACTGAGCGTCTGCCCACAGCCCCGCTGCCAGTGTGTGACTCAGGATGGAACCCGAGACTCCTGGTGCCAGGGCCCAGATTGGGAAGGGGGGACATGCTGCCCTCTCTTCTCCCTGCCTCACATGCACTTCTCAGCTCCTCACTGCCTGGGGCGGGGGATGCAAAGGCAGCCTAGGTGGGAACAGGCAAGGGAGTCCTCAACAGTGAGCGGAAGTGGAGAACCCCAGCCCAGAGCACCTTCTCCTGAGCCTGCCAGCCTGGCCTGGGGCCCAGAGCAGGGGAGAGGAGCAGGGGCAGCTGCCACCAGCAGGCACACACCAGGTTCCTGTACACAGTTTGCACTCAGCACACACAGGTGTTCCCATGTGCTGCAGGAGAGGGCCGATTGCACATGCAGCCAAGGACTTGCATATTTTGTTCACATTAAGCGGCATTTATTAACACGTGTGCACATATATGTACTCACATGTGAGTGGAGGTATGTACGTGCCCACCTATAATCTGAGGCTACCGTTCACCACACAGCATCTTTGCCACCCCCTCTAGTGGATGCAGCTCCGTGCCAAGGCACATGGTTTGTCCCCATACACTCCCACCAAACTCATTCCTCTCTGTAACTGGTGGTTACACGCATGTTCATATACGTGCACACACATGCACACTGGTATGTGTTGGGGTTGGAGCTGAGAAGGTATGGGTAGGGCTTCCTACTTCCTAATGGGCCTGAGAGGGCCCTGCCTGGGGGAGGGGAAGGATGCAGTGCCCTGTGAGGATCCCTTGTCCTTGTCAGCTCTCCTGAGGTCACTTGGGACTAAGAGGGGTCAGGGCCGGAGGGCGTCGGTCCATAAACGCCGGGCCAGTGCAGTCCATGTGCATGGCGCCCCCTGGCTGAAACGGCAGAAGGAAGCCCGGCTTCACAGAGAAGAGAGTGAGTCTGACGAGGCCCTGGCTGAGTCACACAGCCTCCCCGGAGCCCTCGGGGCTCCCTGTCCGCTTTGGGAAGGAAAGCCAAGGCCGAGCGAGCGCAGGCTGGAACCCAGCCCACCTGGGAGCTCCTGGGGGCGGCTCCATCTCCCAGGGCATCTTGGGCAAGGTCTGTGTCTCACCTGGGTGGAAGGGCTGAGCTCAGGGACGTTGACCCACCCCCCCGTGGGAGGCCGTGACTCCTTGAGGTCAGAGCTGGGGGAGTGGGTTCCCGGTCCAGGGAAGGGCTGAAGATGCAAGTCCCAGCCTGCTGAATCAGAGGGGTTGGCTGGGGCCCTGGAAGGAGTGGGGTGTGGAACGCCCTTCGTTTCCTGCCCCCAAAACGTTTTTTGCCTGAATGGGTGCAGCCTGAAACAGCAGAAGGGACATGGGCTTTGCAGCCAGCAAGTGGGGTGAAGAAGAGCAGCGACATAGAAAATGAATAATGTTACAACCCCCGCGCCCAGCCTCCCTGACCCCCCGCCCCCCAACCTGGTCCAGAGCATTGGAGCAGGTGATGGAGGAGCAGACCAAAACAGACATAGGCATTTCCAATTTATTTTTATTTACTTACTTATCCTCATCCAAGGATATTTTCTCCACTGATGTGGAAGGGAGGGGAGAGACACACAGAGAGAAACATGGATGCGAGAGAGACATCGATCAGAGATATGTGACCTGGACCCAGAAGCGAACCCTCAACCCTTCAGTTGTGGGCTGACACTCTGACTACTGAGCCAAACCAGCCAGGGTCACGTTTTCCAGTTTATTTAGTTTTTTTAATGCCTAAAGAAAGTTGTCACCTTTTTAAAAATATATTTTATTGATTTTTTTACAGAGAGGAAGGGAGAAGGATAGAAAGCTAGAAACATTGATAAGAGAGAAACATCGGTCAGCTGCCTCCTGCACACCCCCCTCAGGGAATGTGCCTGCAACCAAGTTACATGCCCTTGACTGGAATCGAACCTGGGACCCGATGCTCTATCCACTGAGCCAAACCAGTTTTGGCGCATTTTCCATTTTAGAATGTATTTCCTCCCATGTACAAAACGATCCCAGAAGTGGGAATACTTTTCCCTTTTCACAAATGCCAAAACTGAAGTTTGGAGAGAAGTCACTTGCTAAGGTCTCATTTGGCCACTGAGTACTGAGCTTGGGAGTCAGACCCCATGGGGACGGGGAGAGGAAGTGGAAAGGACAGAGACCGGGGAGCCACAGGAAGTCCCTTCGCGTGTGAGCCCCCTTTCTAGAGGGCGCACCCCTCTCAGGCCACTGCTGGGCTCCCTTCCTGTTCCTGGGCCTTGGGAGTCGGGGTAGCTGCAGGCTGGCTTGGGGAGTGGAGAGCAGAGATGAATCACTGCATTATGAGCGTCTCCAGACTGGGGGGCGGGCAAGCATCTCCTCCCCCTGTGCCAACAGTCAGCCCCTGTCTGCCCTGTGGATGGGAACTGCCCTTCAGGCACCTCCAGCTGATGAGCATCTGGACCTTGAGAAAAATTTTCCTTTTGACACATATCCTGGGGCCTCTGGGTTCGCTTCCTAGGGTCCCTGGGATGCCCTCGGCACCCTGTGAGGACAGCAGAGGGTCATGGAGGGGAGTCAGAAGGGAGGGACAGAGACGCAGACCTCTTGCTGAGTCTTAGGGGCAGGCTGGTGAGGGCAGAGCCCTCTTACAGACCTAGAATTTCAGTTCTAAGCCTGGCTTGGCCACTGACCAGTCAGGGGACTTGGCCAGCTCTCTTCCCTCACCTCTCAGAGCCTCAGTGTCTTCATCAACCACCTGGAAGTTTGATCTGGAAGTTTCAGGTGGAGTCCTCTCCCAACCCCAGACCCAGGGCCTCTGTCAGAACTAAACAA